GAAATTTTCCCCAGGGGTCCATTTAAAAAGGAAAATTTTCCTTTTTTTTTTTTTTAAAAGTGCCCAAAAAAAAAGAGTGTTTCTCCCCCGCCCCGGGGGGGGGGGGGGGGGGGGGGGAGGGCTACGGCACGAACTGTGTGTGTCAATACTTAACTCTCTGTAGCGTTTCTTCTCTGTCTTGAAATTTCTATACAAAAGAGGAGTCCGATCAAACGAAAAGCAGCGAGAAGAGTTCTGTGCCCGGCAGAACAGCCGTCCTAAAATAACATGCGGTGGACAAGGCTTTTTTTTTGGGGGGGGGCAGGGCAGCAGGCCGAATCAAAGCTAGGATTTCTACCTGTCTGGATGGGACAAAAATGCACAGAAAGGAACACTGCTGTTGCATACACAAGTGTTCAGCATACCTGACCAGGCGCAAGAGAGGTTTGGGTGTCCAGAAAAAGTGAATTAAGGAAAACTGACAGCAAGAGGAAGAACCCTTGAAAAAATAAGCGAAGAAAAATCACCGTGCGTGCCGCCTCGAGTCCAACCCGCGGTGTCTACGAAGCGGCCAACGCAGTTTCGGTGACAGAAAAAAAAAAGAGCCGCCAGTAAAAACAGTAGCGGCCGTGTTCCATTTGTTAGACTGATGTTGGCTCTCTTCCCATGTAGTCGGTTTGGTAGGCGAGTCTAGCGAAGTGCGTGGCGTTCGTTTTTACAATCTGTCCAACCGGCGGGATCTGGGCCGTTATAAAGCCAATTTTTCCAGAAAAAGAACACGCTAACACATGGAAAAGAAGGAAAAACGCCGGTACAAGTAGTGTGTGTCGCACAAATCTTTCGAGTTCAGCAGTGTTTCCTGGCATCCCGCTACTGCCGCCGACGGCCACTCTACTGTTGTTTGAACGAACATCTCGTTCTCTGCAACCAACCAGTCATGCAAGTCTTCCTTTTCTTGACCAACCGCAAACGACGCCACCTCCGTCGTACTACAGCAGTACAATAGCGGGTTTCGTTTCTTATCCTACCTTGGAGGCTTGGCCGGCGGCGCAGCACGCCTTGATTATCCCTCCGTACACGATCTCGTTCGGCTCGATCTGCTCCCGGCGCATCGCAGCCAGCAGCTCCAGGGCCTACGAATGACAAAAATCACAAAAAAAAATACACACACACACACACAAACACCAACGAACAAGGGGTACAGGTGAGCGAGCGGCGCACGTTTCGCAGCTTGTGTCGGCCAGACCGATTTCAAGAGCAGGAGGCCGGCATGATAACAAAAACGAACCATAGCTTGCGAAGGCCCTTTGTATCTGCCGATGCATGTATTCTGCTTCCATGGAGCCCTCTTGCGTGCCCCCCCCCATCAACCACAGGCACCACCGAACCCCCTTGACTGCCAATCGTGAATCGTCGAATGTTTCGAAGCACATGCATGCCTGACGTTGTCTCTCCCCCCCTCCCCCCCCCTCCTCTGCTCCGACATCATTCGCTCTGCGCATGCACACACAACCTCAACAACGAAAACCACAACACACAGCGCACAAACGAACCACACTCCTGCGTGCACCACACCCAACCCTCCTCGCCAAAGCAACAACCAACACCAACACCAACACAGCTGCAATTTACTATCTCCCCCGCCCCACCCTCTACGCGACTCGAGCCGAATACCTCACGGCGCTTCGCGCTTGGTCATGTGAGAGCCCGGTCCGGTGAGAACCCGGCGTGCTCCGTCCCGGCTTTGTAGGGGTGCGAGGTCAATGGTCTAACGACTACGGCATGCACCACGACCGTGAGTACCCCCCCCCCTCCTCTCTCACCATCTTCCAGTCTGCGGCCCTCTGACAAGCGGCCACGGCGGTCCCGTACGTGACGACCGATGCCTTCACCCCCCTACTCTCCATCTCGTCCATGAGGTCGAGGGCCTCCGACAGCTGCCCGGCGTCGCCGCAGGCACGGATGGCCGTGTTGTACGAGATCTCGTTGGGCGACACGCCCTCCCTCTCCATCTCCTGCTCGCGGGTGTGGTGTGACGATACAATCTTCATTCTGTTGTGTGATTGATTGCTTCCTTGCTCGATTGTCTTGGTTCTCTTTTCCTTGTGGTGGTTTCCTAACCTTGTCGTCGGCCCTTGTCTAGCTGGACGGGCCGGTTCGGTGTTTTCTTAAAACCCAACAACGAACCGGGACAAGAAAACTATTCCATGGGATGGGACAGCTGCTGAACGGGTCGACACACTTTTTGGGCGGTTTTCGAGCGTCTATTGTGCCGACAAGCCAAGAATAAACTACAACTGCAATCCCAACAATAAAGTAAACTTCAGAGTACCATAAATCGGACTTAGAAGCCGCTTTCCAGCAGTACGCCATCTTTACGAGACAAAAGCGAGATAAACAGGAACGTCTTGTAGTCATGTCAAAAGCTACTACGGGTAGGGCGAGGGCGAGGCAAAACTTTGGCGTCCCGCTCTTCCTACAAGGCGAGAGGGAAAAAAAAGTGTGCGTGTTTTTTGCGGAGGGCAGAGCGCCACCTGATACATAAACTTTGCCACGACCCTTGATTCCTACCTAGACGCAACAGCAGAGTCATGACGGCATCGTAATACACCCAGCTCCGCCTGGCAGTAAACACACGGGCTAACACGATGCATCTCGGTCGACTTGTCACGCGGTACACCTCATCCGGTTACCTTCAGGAGCGCCAAGGCCCGCCGCCACTCCTTAGCATCCGCGCACGCCGCTATGGCCACGCTGTAGGTCCGCACATTGGGCATCACTCCCTGATAAAAGCAAGACAAAAAAAAAGAAAACACAAAAAGAGACACGCCAAAAAAAAAACACCATGCCGGCGGGGATAAGGTAGAGTTCGTACAAGAACAAGAGCGATCTATCTCAAAAAGAGAGAGCAAGAGTGCACAACTGACAACAAGACCCCCCCCCCTACCCCTGAGCTGGGAAAAATGCAAGGGACGTACAGGGAGATGTTTGAGGCATGGAATAGAGAGGAGAGGACGGTAGCTGTACTGGGGAGTAGGAAGTGGTTTGAAAAGGCGGGAAGGGATATCGTTAGGATAGACAGACCAGGGAAGACATTTTTGAGCCACCTTTGGCAAAGTAGGAAGGGACGATTGGCCATCGGTGATCGGTCCTGTGGGAACAACGCTCCGTCCTCTCGAGGACGCGCGGTCAATGGTCTAACCGCTAAGGCATACACAACACAATAATACGCCCCCCCCCTTTGGTAAAGTAGACAACAGCGAAAAAACGATCGCGATAATTGGGGATAGATGGTGGGCACAAGAGGCCCTTGAGGACGGGGATAAGATGTGCAAGAAATTTTTATGGAGTTTGTGGCAGAAACGTAAAGAGCTCCCAAATGTTGGTGGTGTCTCTAGTAGGTGTAGGAACGGTGCTCCGTCTCGAAAGGGACGCGTGGTCAATGGTCAAATGACTACGGCAAGCAACAAATGAGTACGCCCCCCCCCCCCCCCCCTACCCCCCTCCCTCGGTTCCTGTCGATTTCGCGGGCCCTCCATCTCGTACGATCACGTATCGTATCGTACCTTGGATCTCATGAGGTCGAGGATCTTGATGGCTCTTTCGTGCTGGCCGCCCCTCCTCAACACCACCATCAGCGACGTGTAGGTGATGACATTGGGGGTGAGGCCGTCGTCCAGCATGTCCTCCAGAAGCTTCTCCGCCTGCACCATCCGTCAGCCATCAGAGTCGTCATCAACCGCGTCGTTCAAAATACAGTGGCGACGTAAGCACAGCGTTGTTGTTCAATATTACGGAGGCACATAATACGAACAGTCAGGACCAAATTGGAGCAAATGAAAACAGTGTTTACGGGGTGTAACTTTGTAGCAGCTACGCGAGATTCTCTTCTTTTTTCGATTTTGCATTCGAATGTTGAAAGCCGTGCCGTCAATTCGCGCTACAACCATGTAATCTACTGAAGATCATACCGCAAGAGCGAAAATTATGCCCGTATGTTTTTGTTTTGTTCCTGACGAATACTTTGTATGTGCCTCCGTAATGGTAGATGCGTAATGTTACTTGCGAGACAGACGCGATGCCACACTGCCAAACGCCGAGTCCTTGTAATTCCTTGTGTCGACGGGGGCCCTCCTTTTCCTGCTGGCACGGCTTTTCCTACCCCTTGTTACCTATGTTTTTGTCTTTGCAGTTGTTGTTGTTGTTGTTGTTGCTGCTGCTGCTGCTGTTGTTGTTTGGCATCAAAAGCCTCAAGCGTGCCATCGATCAGCTCCTACGGCCGTACTGTGCAGAGATGCATGCATTCGCCACACTTGTGACTCGAGAACGTCCATAAAACACACACCAAAATACAACAAGCGGCATGAACAGCAACTCTGGCGCCTTCCTGAACTACAAAAGAAAGGAAAAAACGCCATGTTTGTAACCGTAAACGATACAACCAGTGTGCCACCGGCAAACGTCGCAGACTTCTGCACGAGATATCTCTTTGCGTAAAGTACAAAGTGTATCGTTGAACTTCAAACTTGTACAACAGTCTGGGTTCTATTGTTTCGTACATAGATGCCCCATAAGCGAGCGTCACACTTCACCTGTGCCCACTGGCCCTTGTCGGCGCAGGCGCTGATGGCCACGCTAACGGTCACCACGTCCTTGGCCACGCCGTTCGAGTCCATCTCGTCCAGGTAGCGGACGCACCGGGCCCACTTCCCCAGCTGCCCCGCGGCGTGGATGGCGGTGGTGTAGGCGTACTTGTCCACCCACACCTCGTCTTCTTGCATCTGTGTATGTGTGTGTATTTTTTTCAACAAAAGAAAAGCAAAAAAAATGTTTTGGTCACACGTGGAGTTGGGCGCGTGGGCCAGGAGTATGTTGCGGGTGCGAGAGAGAGGGGGGGGGGGGAGGGGAGGGGGTCCTATGTTGCGCGCGAAATACACGAGAGAAGGCGAAACAGAGAGATGTCGCATACTCTCGTGAAATGTGAAATGACGCTGACGGGAAACACAAGGGAAGAAGACGAAACACCGATTGATCCCACATCGGCCCCCGCGAACGAATGCCTCATGCGCAAAACGACAATCAACTCGTTTGTTGTCGACGGCCGCACGTGTTTGTTCTCTCCGAAAAACTAGCCCCTTTAAGCACGTATATGCGTGAGCCAGCGATCCCTACTAGCATTCCAGAAAGAGCCAATGGGGTTCTCAATCCCCCCATTTGAACCGAAATGAAACATCGGTCAGGTCAACAAGATTATTTTTGCAGTTGCCGAGTTCACGCTTGAATGCACACGTACATACGCGCAAAAATGAGAGAAAATCATGGTCCCAAAAGCGAAACCGCCAAAAGCCTTTGCCTCGAAAAAGACCAACAAACAAGAAACTCCCAGGTCATAATTTTCGTCAAAGCCAGCTATTGTTTTCCCCTTCGCCCGCAAGGGGCGGGGGGTGGTGGTGACGCCGACCCAAGCCGGCCCCCACTTGCTAAATCACTCACAAAAAAAAACATGCACACACACACAGCGCTGCGAGGTCTCTCTCACTTGGTCCATGATGCGGAGGACGTGGTGCCACTGCCTCGCTCGCTCGCAGGCCAGCATGGCACTGGCGAAGGTAACCGGGCCCGGCGGGCACCCCATGTCCGACATCTCGTCCAGCAGGCTCACAGCAAGGGACCTGGTCACCGCAAGTAGGTCCACAATGGGGGTGGAGGGGGGGTCCCGCAGGTTCTCAGGGCGGGGTGAGTATATTTTGTTATTGCTGTCATGCTGTCACGATCTTGGCCGCAGCAACAAGCCTTACACGAGGCCAACACTATTTTCTCGGTCGATACCGAAACACGTGGAAACCAATCTGTTGCCACAGACAACACCCAGCACGACGCTATCAGTGAGTGTGCACTCCTTCTTCCCGTTCGGTCGGCGTTTCTTTGTCCCCTCCCGCCTCCCCCTCCACGGCCCTCTGCCTCCGCCTCCTTCTCGCCCGTCAACCGCCAACCGTTTCATTTCCCCAGCTTTGTTCCACGTATCGCTCTTGCTTTCCCGTGTCTCTTTTCTCCCTCTGCCGAAGACCCCCCGCCCCCCCTCCTCTTCTCAAATACCCAATCTTCTTCACCGCTTCCTGTTCTCTCGTCATGCTCTTGCTCCCAGATATTTTTCGACTCCCACGGCGATGGACCCCTCTCCCCACACCATAACAAACTCTTACGCGACATGCACGCAACTAAACGCGCCAACCATTACATTGCGCAACCGCCATGTATCTCGCAGCGTGTCAAGAGGGCGAGGCAGCCGATCTCACCACTGCCCGCTCTTGCCGCAGGCGCTGATGACGGTGTTGTACGTGACGGTCACGGGGAGGATGCCGTCCCTCCGCATGGTGCGGAGGAGCTTGACCGCCTTCTGCCACTGGTCGCTCCGCTCGCAGGCGCTGATGACGGTCGAGTAGATGACGGCGTTCGGTGCAAGCCCAGACTGACGCATTTGCTGAGTTTTTTTTTGTGGTGCCGTGGTGTGGATTGCGAAAAGTGACAAATTCCGATCGAAAAAAACAAGCGTCGTCAAGGGGGGGAGGGGGGGGTCAACGACATCGCTTCGTTGTTCCACCGCATTTCTCGTGCGTCTACCAGCAGCTACATAAAAAATGCGGGCAAAACAAGACGGGGTTGTATGAAGGTAAACAACATGACGTTGCGCTTTGGCTTTGATCCCCAGTAACGCGGAAGGGAAGCAACTGCTATCCGCGCCAAGGAACGGAGAGAGGGTTCATGTTGGTTTTGTGGGGGGTCTCTAACATCAACAACACAGCTCAGGCCGTGCCCTAGAATGCAAAGCGAGAGCATCAGACGAGGCCATGTGCATCGCGGCAGGACGTCTCTTCTTCGCAGAGCCTTGCTCGCACGCATTCGCAACCACTTTCTCTCATTTGTGTGGTCGTATCTCTCGTGTTGTCGATGCCACCCTGCGACATCGACCCAATAACCCAACCCCCCTCCCCTCCCTACCACAGCCCCCAACGCTTCCTTCTCCGGTCGCTTGGCTCCAAAGCTCAACATGAGCGATTACCAAGACCAGTCCCTCGCACACACCGCAAACAGGTGATAGGAAATACGTATAATGGGAATCTCTCAAGCAAGCCAGGTCAACCTCAACAGCCGGTGTGAAACCAAGCGTCTTCCCGGCCGCGAAAACGTGTCAGTTGCTGCCAAAAACTGCTGTCACACAAGAGCGCTTGTCGTGAAACACGCGGCAGTTGCTGCCAAAACTGCTGTCACACAGAGCCCCTGTTCATTCACGTGCAAGCTGCTGGCGTAAGCAAGGACACGCGTGTCTCGCAAAGCGTCTTTTGCATCTCATACATACCGTACCTCGAGGTAGTTGACCGAGTCTTCCCAGTTCCCCCGCTTGGCGCACGCGCTGATGAGCGCGCCGTAGGTGAAGACGTTCGGGCGGATGCCCCGCTCCTTGGTCATCTCGCGGAAGATGCCCTCCGCCCTCTTCTGCTTCTTGGCGTTGGCGCAGGCCGTGATGACGTTGTTGTACGACACCACGTTGGGTTCGACCGCCGGCACCGCCAGCGGCCACTCCTCCTTCTCCTCCTCCGCGGCGGAAGTAGAGGTGACGGAAACGCCGAGGTTGTCTCCGCTGGGGTGAACGCCGTACCTTCTCTTCGCCACGTCATTGCCCCCCCCCTCCTCCTCCTCCTCCTCCTCCCCTTCCTCCATGATATCGCTTACAACTGTGGCTGTTGTGTCTGGTCTCCTTTCATCCTCCTCGCTGCTGGTGCTGCTTCTCCTCGAAAGCACGCGCGCCTGCCTCAGGAGCATGATGGCCATCTCCCACTGGGCGTCCTTCGCGTAGGCCGCCAGCTGCATGTTGAGCTCGAACAGCGCGTCCGAGTCCGCTCTTGGCGCGTCTCTCCACTCGGGGTCGCTGTCGGCCCAGAGCGAGGGCCCGGCAAAGGCGCCGCCGCCGACGCCGCCCCAATCCTCTTCGTCGTCTTCGTCTGGCTCTACTTGCTGTTCCACCTCCTCCCATGTTGCGGCTGCCATTCCGGGGACGTGTTGCTGCTGTTGCTGCTGCTGCTGCTGCTGCGAAAGACGACGACCCAACTTCCCGAAGTTGGGTTCGTCATCGTGGTTGTTATCTGGATGCTGATGATGCTGATGCTGCTGCTGCTGCTGCTCCGGCCGCCCCTGCCCTCTCTTCGCCGCCCTTCGCTTCGTTGTTGCCGAGGCTGATACTCTTGCCGCTGCTGGCTCTACGGTCGGCTCTTGAGCTGCTGCAGAGGAAGAGCTGCTACCCGCCGACATCATTGCGTCCGACTCGTTCGCCGATGCAGGTGCAGCCGAGGAGTACATCATCAGCCCACCGGCAGAAAAAGAGCCTCGCGAGGACGGTCGTGTCGTCAGGGCCCGTTTTCGGCGACCACCCGTGGTAAACCCACCGCTGCTGCCTGCGCTACTGCAAGTACGTCGAGACCAGCCTGCATCAGAAGTGTCGGACAACACCGACTGTCTCATCGCTGGCGCGGACTTGAACCCCCTCCTTCTGCCCCCTCTAGCTCTTCCTTTTCCTTCTGACACAGCAGTCAAAGACCTCACGCGCGTGTCGCGTGCGGCGCGACGACAAGAACCCACCACGCGGCACGCCGCAGCAGTGCGCACGAACGCTGATGTTGTTGTCGCCGATGATGGAGCTGTTGTTGCTGCCGTGGGGACAAGCACAGCAACAGCCATGCTCCTGTCTACGCCACCTGCCGCCATGGCTCCGAGCATCCACGACATGTAAAATATCCTGCAACGTGTCCGCCTTACCCCTGTGCGCTACTCGCGAGAGGCCACCTCGACACGCGTGTCCTCGAGAACGCGCGTATGACATATGACATGTTCCGGCCCAGACCCCTCAAGTGCGTTGAAGGGGATCCGGGAGGGGAGATTTTTGGGATGATACGGGTACCGTAGGCGATACGGATACACGGGGAGTTTTCGAAGGTTTTCTATGTGACTGGTAAGAAGCGTGTTTGGTTCGCGAGAGCTAAAAAAAAAAAAGGGTTCACGATCCAAGGGCGACACACGAATCCAGGGCTTGTATATCTTTGTAGCCCAGGGTATCACGTTCACGATGAACGGGGTAGGCGCCGACACCGGGCAGCAGCTAACGTACCAGTCGAGGCCGAGTTATCGACACAAGTACGTCAGTAGATCTCCACGGGCTGCTGTATCCGTGTGTAACGTTTGGGAGGTTTGTTTCAAGTACGTTGGTTGTCTCTCCACTCAACGGTAACCTGCTTGTGTGTTCTGTACTTTGTCATTACCCTGAACCCAGTCCTACCGCTCACATCGCGATACCAGGGCTTCTGTCAATGCAATGCGAGAGATAATCAAAGGCGTCCTCGAATCGGAGCTGCAGGGATGTACCTATCATGTAAGGTTCTGATACACTTACGCCGCAAGAGAGGGCCCTCTACAGAGACTAAACTTCTGCAGTAGTAAGAAGTGGAGATATTAGACTATTCAAACCAGAGAACCACTTACGTAGCTATGCAAGTTGGATTCAAGCTGGTTGTCGTGGAGGAGGAGGAGAATCACTGGTACAGGGACGGCGGGAGGATTCTTCCAGATGACTGACCACACACCACCCATGATGATACAAGCCATCTTCTACATAGAGCATATAATATAGGCATACCCTTCCCCTCCCCTGCTTGGCTTTTTTTGTTTCGACTGAATGCATCACTGGTAGGACAAACTGCAATTTTCATATAAATGAAAATCGTTCTTGCGCCGGGGTATTATCCGTGTTGGAAATACAGATGGACCAGGCTACAGTACAGACGAAGAGGATTTGCGACGAAATAAAAAATGGGCTGAAGGGTGAGTGCACGTTCACACCAATAACAACGTCGACTTTGTGCAATATCTTGGTTGGAGAGCGTCATGAGTGCAACCCGACGTATGTTCACAGCTAAGGCCCTCTGGTAAGTAAACAGGGTACCCATTCATTGTGGCACCGTTGAAGACAACACACCTGCTGTTCGTTCACGCGGATGCTGTTCCATGTTGACCCAGAGATGAACCTCCCGAGATACAAGTACGTGGTGCAAGTGGTGATCGGAGAACAACGGGGGGAAGGAGTGCGGATGGGTAGTCGCTGCTTTTGGGACTCCGAAACAGACAACGTTGCAAGCGAGACCTACGTCAATGTGAGGGTAGTGCGGCCGCCGACGTACTTAACTACAAGTGTGTGCATGGGGTGCGGGGCGGTGGAGAGGACATACATTCTGTTGTCGTTGCACCCTGCGTTTCAGGCTATTTGTGCCAGTCACGGTATCATCGAATTCCCACCCAAGTGCTTTGCTTCTTGCACCAAAGACCGGTTGATTATCTCCGTGTGAGCGAAGTGTCGATTGGTGTAACCTGGGGGGAAATCCATGCTCTGTGCAGCCCTGAGGTGAATCTTCCTCGTGGCAGTAAAACCTTCGTGCGGACCCACTTATTCGTCGTCGTGACTTCGTACAACTAACTACCGTTGCCCTTTTCCTGCGGCTGTGCGATGCGGAGCAGGACAGCGTTTTTTGCGTGGCGACGGCCTACGCAGTCTACCTCTGCTAACCTCAAAGTGTCGCAAGAGGGAGGCGAGGCGGTCTTTCTTCCGTCCGGGAGGAAACTCAAGACACGGGCAATGTCGTATGCCCTCTCTATCGTGATTCGTGTTTCGTGGGTGACTGCCGGAAACGATCCTAAAGAGATAGAAATTGGGCAACTTAGAAACTCCGGCTCGGAATATGCTTACAGTCAACGCCTGTAGACAGCGGTTACTAGTGTTCATGCGTGAGACAATCGAATGTTGCCACTGTCCCGGGAGCGGGTCGATTCAGTCTCGTATCAGAAGGCGGGAGAGGACTGGGTTGTTGCTGAGTGTGCGAGAGGAAGATTGTCTTCCTCTCATAGTTGACGAGTTTGGCTGGGTCGATGTTACCGGGCTTGGCTCAATGTTTTCACCGTGTCACAAGCTCAAGCTTCGTGTTTTCGAGTTTAAGGGAGATTCGGCATCCTATGTTATTCCTCTAGCCACGTAAGACCTGTGGAACGTACGACGTAGTTTGGTGTCTCGCCTGGCGAGACACTCTGGAGATGAATCAGAATGGCTGGCTGACTTCTATGGAGCTGCAAGAAGAGATTGTCAAACGGCCCACCGATGACACGTATGTGCTATTGGCGATTACGCTTGGTTGCAGGTCGATTTCACGCCGCGTAGCCATCCAAATACAAAGGGAGGGGAAATAACTTATCATAACCCCGTTTTCTTCACGTTCAACCAACGCCGCGACCGACTCTCGTTTTCCCTACAGCTGTATTCGCGATTCCCGAAACGACCACAAGCACTCCAGTAGTCTACTAGATAAACAGACAAGGCAGCTCCTGATCCTACGACTAAAGCCCAAACTAGTCGAGCAGGAACTGGAACCATTCTCCTGGCGAGGTCTCACGGGGATGAGATCACTTGAGTCTATCTCAGCATCCATTAGATAGAGCGTTCCATGCGACGATGTCTACAGTAGCCCTCCCACCCCTCAAATCGTGTCTCGAACTCAGTCTTTGCTTGCTGCTTTTGATAGAGCTGGGTTGAATGCCGTTTCCTGCAACGGCTGCTTCAAAGTGGTCTTAACTCCCCGCCTTGTCCGGTAACTTCGACCATCACCGTCCTGCTGGTCTTTCCACAGACCGTTCCGAAGCTGAGAACTCGATATCTAGGTCATCGTCAGAGGAAAACCCGAAGTCCGGGGCCGACCAGGCCCCAGGGGCGGGGGTGGCACAGGCAGAGTCCACCACCCCTCGTCTTCCCCCGGGGGTAGGTGTCGAGCGTTCTTCGTCGTCGCTGCCTTCGCCGCCGCTGCCGTTGGGCCGCTCGCCCTGCGCGACGCCGAGCGGGTTCAACAGAGCTTCGTCGCGGTCGCGGCGGTGAGTGCCTCCGTTGCCTGGTTCTGTTCTCCTAGGGTCGTCGTTGCCGTCGTCATCGCTGCTGCTGCTGCTCCAGTCGTCGAAGGCTTCCTTGGTGATGCCGCCCTTGGCGCGCGGCCGTTCTCCTTGGTGGCCAACTGGGTCCCGCCCGTCTTTTCGGCCGCCGCTGGCTCTTTCATCGCCGGATGCCCCTTTAGCACACGTAGAGCCACCTTCATCGACACCCGCGTCGTCGTCGATACCTTTCGGGTCGTCGACTGATGTGGCGTGCTGCTGGCTTGACCGCTCGGCCGTGGTGGTGCCGCGTCTCGCGCCGCCGTTTTTTTCTGCTTCGTCTTCGTCGTCATCCGAGAAAATAAACTCGTTTACCGTCGCCCATTCGGCAAGGAGAGACCCTGAACGGCTGCCGCCGCCACCTGCTGCGTGTTTGGCAGCTGAACCAGTGGTGCTCGCGGGGGGCGTGGGCGTATCCGCTGCACTGCTTTGTCCCACGTCACCGACCACGGCTTCTGGTGCAGGTTCAATCTCCTGTGGAGTCCTGGTGGTGACCCCCGAATCACCGTTGGGCCCTTTTTCATCAGGGGATGCTGCCACATCACTGGCGGCCGAGGGTCTATCGGGTGAAAACGGGACCATGAAATCCTCTCCCTGCGTATGTGTCGGCGAGCGAGCAGGTGCTCAAGTTGGACTGGGTGGGGGTAGCATGTGTAATGTCATGTCGTCAACCGCCGTATGGAGACCTTGCATGTCAGCGCTTGTGGAGGAAACGTAACCAGGAATAGGTGCCTAACGCGAAACCTGGTAGGGATATGTAACGCTCCCAACGAGATCTTTCGGGCTCGCCAACCCTTCGAACCACGAAAACGCTCCAAAGTGTGTTCCCCCGCAGTGCGGACACCGGGAGGATGTAAAAGGGATGAAGCGGTAGGCATGATGGTCGTGAACATCGAAAACTTGTAGCAATCCAGTCTACAAGAAGTCGACCCCTAGGCAACAACTGGCTGGCTCACTGCGCGCGATTTAATCGTATCAGCTCGAATTTCTTCCGCCTGGTTTGTTGAGCTCGAAACGCAAGTTGGTTTCTCCTTGGACTTCCCCTCACCGTTTCTTGCTGGAGGTCATAACTCTCCACTCGCGATCGGCTCAGAGGCTTGCCGTCTTCCCCCGGGTCGCCGTTCTCGCTCTCCGCTGAGCTCGGCGCTTGCTCCCCCACACTGTCATCCTCTTGGGCACCGGCCCATATGGCACGCCGCTCGTGCAGGCCTCCAGCGGCACCGATGCCGCCGATACCGCGGCTTTCGGGAAGCGACCACCTGCTGTGGGCGCTGTCCCCCTCGAGGCTGCCACCCGATTCTTCGAGCTGTTGTCCAGCCCCTTGTTCTCCCGGTTCTGTCGCTACCGCCAAGGCACTCCCGCTACAACTGTTCAATCTTTCGGCGATGTTATTTCCCGATGCAGTTGTTGTCGATTTTGGTGTCGGAGCCGCGGTGGCGGTGGTAGCAGTCGGTGTGGCGCACGGTACACCGGCCGATGAATCAGTGCTCCCTGTCCTTGGCGGCAGGACTAGATCGGTGCCATCTCTCTCGCAGTCACCTTCGCCCTCGGTCTTCTCCAGGTTCTGCTGCTGCCGCGGCTGTGCTGAAGCTTTCCCTGGTGTGTCTTTGGCTGTCCCCACCCCTTCCGCGCCAGCAGGTATTTCCACGTCCCGGCTGAGGATGGTGGTACCGTTTCCTCTGGGTGACAAGGGTGTGCCATTTCCTTCCCTACCGTGTTGCTCTTCACCCTCGTCTAGCGTTGCAGGTTCCTGAGGTTCCCCGCTAGAAGACTCCCGAGGTTCCGCGCTAAACACTATATCATATGTGCTGCTACCGTAGGCGCTGCTCCCAGCTGTGCCGCAGCTGCCGCTGCTATCCTTTCGTCCACGCGAGCCCTCTCGTTGATCCACATCGTCTTGTGCTGCACTCCCGGACCTCAGAGGAAGATTTTCGTTCCCACCACCACCTGCTGCGAGCTCCGTGCGTAAATCCGCTGCGTCCGATTGTGGCACAGCCTTCTTTTCGGAATCCGTGGTCTCACCCAACGACGGCCGTTGCGTGCCCAGTCCTACTTCGTTGTCCTTGTCTGCAGCGTTGGTTCCGACCTGCGTGGGGCAGAATAACACAAGTAAACGCACAACAAATTGTGAATACTGCACTAACCGGCTAGTGGACTATAGAGTGACGTCAAAACAAAGCAGCAGACCAGACCGACGAAGTGTAGCCTCAGACCAGAGGAAGCGATTCGGCACGAACTCAAGCAATTGTGACGGCAGACCGCGATAGATGTTTGGACGGATCGCGGTACTCTTCGTACCCTGTTTTGGTGATTGCGAATGACGGGGTTCGCCAAAAACGAAGGGGGGGAGGTCATCTACCAGCACAACGAAGCCGAACGTCGTTTCACACCAGGGGCGCGATAACTGCAGCTCTTACGGTTGCTCAACCCGTCTTGCCCACATGCCGAGAGGTTGATCTCGAAGCTATATCTTGTGTCTGGTGAGTCCACCCGTCATCACATTGACCGCTGAATCCTTGGACAATTTGGCCAAGCCTCTCACCTCCTTTTGGCCGGACGACAGCGAATTGGACCCCAACCGCTTCAGCAGCCCGCTCAACCCGGTCCGGAAGGCGGGCGCAGTTTGAGCCGCAACTGCGTGTCCTTCTACCGGCATTGCCCCGGCGTGAAGGTGTTGTTGTTTTTGCTGCTGCTGCTCGAGATTTTGGTGTTTTCGACCACTGTTCAAAAGGATGGATAGGGAGGTGGGGAAGGTGAGGCTGCTGTCAAGAGCGTGCGCAGTTGTGCCGACAGAAGCTAATCATGAATCACAACCTCTACGAATCACATTCGTACCGTAGTCTGGACGAAACATGAAGTAGCCTTGTGGGAACAGAACTTGACATCGTTCACGTATCAGAACCAGTATAAGGAGAAACATAGCAACGTCAACCCAACGACAGTCACGACCCTCAAAAACACGCGTGAAGGCCAAAGATCATTCTCCGCGCTGCGCCTACCAGTCAGGTGTGCTACTGCTGCGGGTGCTGCTGACGCCATCGCCGGCGTTGGCGCCTCCCTTCACGTTCTTCTCGATGTCAGTGTCGCCTGTCTGTCTCCATAATCCTTCCAAACAGCGTAACTTCAAGGTGTGCCCGTTTAGCGTTTCGGTTACTTCTTCCAGGCTAAGAGTAAATTGAGTGAGGGACGGGAAAAGAGACGATAGTTGGAACCAGATTTCAGCCGTGCACCGGTGCTAGTGTTAGCATAGTTACTTGTTGTGTGTTCGGCAACCTAAGGCAGCCATCAAGGGCGCGAGGTGCCTAGGGCGGTGGGATCCACGTCATTAGTCGCGCTCACGACTGGTACTAGGCTTTGGTACGACCAAATGATCAGCATAAGGTGATCGAGAGACTGCTGCCGGTGGCCGTGCCTATGAAGCATTTATCATGGAGCCAAAGGTTTGCTCTACGAACACACCTGTTCTCAAATATTGCTCGTTGCCTACTCGCCGCCTCCGCTCCTAACGCCATCTCCTGCACCGTTTTTGCAATGCCCTCCACCTTTTCCACTGCCGCTGACGAAGGAGCGGTGACCGTGGCGGGTGTGAGGTCGGTCGGCGTCTTTCGTTCCCACAAACGCTCAAGCTCATCGAGCTTCACGTTTAACCAAACCACACAAAGTCATTGAAAGCGGGCAACCGGAGGCGAGGGGGGAGAGAGAGAGAGAGAGAGAGAGAGAGAGAGAGAGAGAGAGAGAATCAAACAGACAGACGGATAACCCACGGCCATAGAAACGAAAATTAACATCGAAACGTAGGCCGAGAAAACAGAAGTTTTTGCGTTTGTCATCACAACTACCGTGTCAAATTAAAAGCTTGTGTGCGTAGGCGTACCTGTGGCGTTCACAAGCAAGGCGAAAAACGGTGTGATTTGAAAACTGTCCAACCTGGATGATACACACCGCGCTTGTCTAGGTATCCTCTCAATATCAGCCACTGCCGTGCTCACCCTCTTGGCGAGAGGTTTCAAATCCTGCCTCCCATCAAGTCCGTCCGACACAGATTGAGTGACCTGAGAATTGCGATGCCACCATGTCAGCACACCGATTAAACAACACGATCTCGATCGAACAGTGCCCAGACAAGATTACAAAGTGGTTAACCTCGTTGGAATCACTACATGTGCGGTCGAGCCCCGTGTGTTGTGGTAACTCTTCCTAAGCTCAAACTGCAGGCCATCGTCGTGCGATCTTTTACGGCATTACAATCAGTCCACATTGTGTTTACTAAGATCAACTGTCCTGCACCCAGAGTTCAGGGAAAACTTTGGCTTGCGCATTCCCGCTTCTCCTCTGAGAACGTGAGGGGGTTGGAACCACCGTTGTCATCGACGAGTCGCCGTTTAAGTGTCGACAACAACGGCGGTTCCAACCCACGCACGTCTCGGAGGAGAAGCGGGAACGCGCAGAGTCGACCACCTTACCTACCCATATTGGACCCCACCGACAAAAGGTGGGTACACCCTTCTTCCTCCGCTTCCCTCCCCAGCCTCTCCCCCCCCCCCCAAAAGGTGCAACACACGATGGCAGCAAGTAGTTCGTCTTCCAACCATACACACACGTGTAGCAAGCCCACCTGCTGCTGCTCTATCGCGCTCAGAGCCGCCGTTTCCGCTGTCTTTGCTGCATTCCGATCGTGGCGTGACCGCAGATCGCACAGCTCATCGTCAATTCGAGCAAGGTTTTCCGCGAGCCGCTTTTGCAATGCCTCCATGGTATCTCGAACCCCGAGCGCTCCTTTTATCAATCGAGCGGGCAGAATTCGGGGACACCGATTGTGTGAGGTTTTGAAGCGGAGTTTCGCAAAGGTGTGGTTCAAAGGCGGAGGCACACGCTCTTCCACCGTAGCGAGTGGTTTTCCCAGCGAGAGGGCTGCCGGGAATGGCTACTGGTTTTCGCTGGGAGGTCGCCGTATGAAGACGTGGAACAAGGTCCGCGCTTGTTTGACTACGCAGAGTTCGTCATGCAAGCCAGTGCAGGCCATTTCTGCATATGGTGGGCAGCCGACAACAAGTTGGGGACCCATCACCGGCCAGCGAACTGCACAGCCACGGGTGTGTCTTGTTTCGCTGTGTTCACCCTGTGCCCAGTACCAACCTCGTTCTGATCGAATTGTCAAGATGCGCGGTCAACCATCAGCGCGCGCGAACCACTCACTAGCCAAGGGAGCAGCAAATGAGATTTTCCGTGTTGTGTCTGTCACACCCAGCGAGAACGTCGCCCTGTCCGCTCAGATTGATTGCCCATCGAACACCCAAAACGGGCGGTCACAAGCGTCAAGTCCGGGGTAAACGAAATCATCCTCACCTAAAACTTGTATCAATGACCAGACTATGTTTTGGGAAACAGCGAATTACCTCTCGAAATGTCTCCCTCGGCCTTCTTGTGTGTCTCGAGCGCAGGACCGTACGCGCTCACTCGCCGTTCAACCTGCGGCATGAAATGAGCATGCGACAGATATGTAGTGGTTTACATGGTGCGGCCGACGCAATCGGCACAAGCAGTGGTCGTCGCTAACAGTGCTCCAGTTAGTCAACAACCATCACCGAGCGTGCTGAGCCGACGCGTCAAAAGTTGACTCTTCTTGTAGACGTTCGACACGTGTATGGGCTAATGATATTGCTCTCAGCAAGAAGAGTAGTTCGTCGTTTCTGTGTTTGACTCACTATCGCGCCACAAGTAAAAACCAACCTTTGCACTTCCACACGTGACGACTCTATCCTTGCACTCGTCCACCCTCTTTCGAGAAAGAATCGAATGAGAAAACTTATTTGTAGTCTGGTCCACGAGCATTGGAATACTTGCAAACGTCAGTTTTGGCGTCAGAGGTTGCTCAGCCAGGCACGGTAGAGCAGGCGATCGGTAAGTTGTACCTCGGCGAGACGGAGCTCTAGACCTATTCTAGCGTCGGCGGTCGTCTTCGCCTCCTCAACAACTTGTTCTCGCACGTATTCTTTCGCCTTCTTCCACACCTGATCGAGCGAACAAAGGAGCAACAAACGGCGGAAAAAACTGCTTCACACGCTGCCCACGCTCCGAATGATCCAGAAGATAAACATCCCCATCGTTAGCGGTCCCGATTTAGTTCTGCAGCTCTCAACCTTCTGTCCTGGCTCATTCACACACCTCCTCGGCCTTTGCCGACGCTTCCTCCACCGCGATCGATTTGACCATCGTCGGATCGACACCAGAAACTGCTGCCGTCGCCGTTGTTTGCGCCTCGTTTTCCAAAGCTGACAAGCGCCTCCGTATCGTTTCGATCTCCTGCAGGAAGTGTTCCTGAAGTGATGTGCGAAGACACAAGCGTGTAGAGTGAAGAGTACGGAATTCCGTGGAGCAAGGATCGATACACTACCTGGCGGGACGGGCTTTGACTGCTGCCGTGGCTCCTCCTCTGTCCGTTGATGGTGTTGCTCAAACACCGTTCTGGTTGCTTGTGTGGGCAGAGATGTTTCAGATAGTCTGGGAAGAGCGATTGCACGGCTCCCCGACGTGAAGTGCTGTGGAACAGAGGATTTGCTTCGCTGTCCGGACCTTAAAACCTTCCCCCCCTTCTCTCTCTCTCTCTCTCTCTCTCTCTCTCTCGTACACACACACCCGAATGGGAGCCATCGCGGACGCCGATGCAGCTTCTCCCACCCTCCTGGTTGACTTCACCAACACCGCCAAATCTTCCTGGGCTACTTCGACTTCACCCAGGGCCTTTTGTTGAGTGTGTGCCCGTCGTGAGAGGGCTCTGGAGTCCTCGGTGAGAGAATGTAGCGATTCACTGGTCCGAGCGCACCACCCCTCACGATCCGCACGCCACGTTTCCAAGAGGGTGACGGTGCTCCTGTCGTGACCGAGATTGCTTGGGATTTGTTTTCGTAGCTCATGCGGAATCACTTGGTGTTTCAGAACTTGACCGGATGTTATTCCGAGATCACCCCTTAGTGGTGCCCTCAACTGAAACGTGGCTCAGCATGGTGTTTCGACAAACATGTTGCGGTGTTGCTACTATTATAGTTGGTTGTTCAAGGAAGCTGAGTGTCGAGGAAATTGGTGAGAAACCCCCTCAAGCACACATTTGGGCTCGAAACCTGTTGCAGGGCTAGAATCTCAACCACCTTGAACGCCATACACCACAGTACTACAAGAGCCGAACCACCTCGCATGGAGCCCTGCTCCCTTCTATGGAAGTATGTGGTGTCTTTCACGCAGTTGTAGCGGGAACGCGAGGCCCTACAGTAATACGGGGAGGTTTTCTCGTGAGAATGGCGTTGTTTTATTACCCCACACACCTGGTGCGCTGTTGGCTAGCTTGCAGTTGCTCCAAAGCCGTCGCATGTGCAGTAGTAGTCGCACTAGATCTACGGACGATTTCTCCGAGGCTGGCGACCTCCTCGGCCAGTCCATCAACACGTTGCCTGACAGCTTCTGCGGCTCGCTCCGCAAGGGAAACTCGTTGATCCACCTTTGTAAACACCGGGGTTACGTTGGGGATCATGTTTGACGTCAACTCGAGGTTTCCACCATATAGGTCTACAGTGCTGTAGGTCTATATTCCTGAATACACCGTTGAAGACTGCACTCCGTACTAATCGAAGTTCCGCTGTACAACACACAAAGCGGTGTTTTCACGCGCCTAGTATACAACTGCTGCACGGGAATCTACATCTTGTCCATGTAGACTTCACGCTGTCGTGTTGGTGGAACGCACAGAAATACACGAGAGGGTGTAAAGGCGGTACAAAAGACAGGTACAAAGGGAACTTTTGTAGGCCGTACACACCGTGTCAGGTTAGTACTTGGAATTATTGCCAACTTCACAATGTATTCCACACAACTGACGCCGCTGCGCTACATGTTCGTCAAACAAAGCGCACTCACATCTCTTCGCACCACTGTCTGTACTTCCAGCTTGATCCTATCCTCCATACCGTCGATCCTAGCGCCGTCGACCCTGGCCTCCGCCAGCCTCGAGAACGGTGCCGGAGCAGGTGGTGGCGGATACGGGGCAGGAAACTTGTCGCCTGACCCACCGCCGTCGCCAACGCGGTCGCGAACCAACAACGACGCACCCCATCCTTCTGTCCCGCGGCGATATGATGCACCCCTGTCTCCCCGGAAGGTTGAAGGAGAAGTAGCGGAAGAGAGCGGTAGTGGGTTGTGACGATAGCCCCTGTGCGGTGACGCCGTCCTTCCGCCGCCGTTTTGTCGGGCGTTTGCCGAGGAGCTCAGTGTTCTATTTGCTTGGTCTATAAGCTTGGCGATATTCGATTCCCACCCATCTCCCATCCAAGGAGCTAACGTGCACATGTATGCACCGAGAATGTCACGGCAGGGCTAAGATGCTGAGTACCCGCCAGAGTGCTGGCGTCGGGAGAAAGGTGTCGCGACGTCGTGGCGAAGACAACGCGACGAACGGTTTCAAAGAACGCCTGCTGTCGGTACAAAACCTCCCAATCTCCGAAGTCTCCCATAACAACGGGAATCTTAGCTAGGTGGTGTACATGTGGCAAGCTTGCCTGAGGCAAGCTGCGTTGCCAAGATACACGCGTACTCGGATGCAATCACAGCAGTAACAACAAAACGAATGGGTGCAGTATGGATGGATCCTCTTTGCATTTGAAATATACGTGTGTGATACGCACAATGAACGAGTTGTTGTGCCAAATAACCCGGGGGGTAGCCCCGGCTACTATAATGAAGCCTGTTCCCTTTTCCCTCCCCGCCCCAAGAGCCCCCCCTTGAAATTGAGACCGATCATCCCCCCCGCCTGTGAGGTTCGAGGGTGGAATGGTCGAGGAAGGGTTGGGTCTTGTGGCACGGAGCTGTAAAACTGTTGTTCATGCCGTGTATCCTGTGTTGGCTTGTGTTGTTGGCTTGGGTCGGTCCTAGAATCCACACCCTTGTAGCAGTGGTCGTCGAACTGCTGTGTAACAATAACACTGGACAGTGAAACGCCCTATTGTAGAGCAAACATACTTATAAAGTGCAGTACTCCATCTGGAAGTGTCCACCTGGAGTATAGCATATTAGCAGAATATACTGGAAGAAGTGGATCACACATGAAGCGCATGTTCGTTGTGTGTGGCGCGACTGTTTTGTACAAGGCTTTAAGCGCGCAAAGATCGGAGTTGCGGCACATGGAAGTAATAATACTCGTGTCTGCCGAATGTGAACCGTTTGGTTAGCTGGCATGCCCAATCAACTCATCGCATATATCTGGTTTGGCACAGCAAACGCGAGGATGACCAGCCTCTGGTTCGTCCTTGTGAAACGTAGCCTGGGCTAGCGAATCCCGGCATAGTCTGTCGCTCCGTCCCGCGGCATTATTTGTAGATATGCATAATAATGTCGGGAGGCGAGGTGTTTGGTCTATGCATTTAGTACATAGTACACACCCCCGCACCAAGAAGAGTAGACTGGTTGCTGGTAGATCGAAGATTGAAGACAGAGGGGACTAAAAAACAGCGGGGGGTGGCAACCGTTTCCGCATTATTAGTGTACAACACACGACGACTGATTCTTCATTCATTCGTTCCTTCCAAGGTGTTGGAGCACGCCGACAACACTCACCACCACCATCAAGCCATCAAGACATACATACAATTGTACGAACCAGCTATATACTTTAAGCCGATAGGGACCTCTAGCGTGAAAATCTGTTGATACCCTGAAAATCATGACGGAACGCGTTGTTGCCCACACGAACAGCAGGTACGGTTTCCGAACATCGTATGCATATTATATCCCGTAATTTAGTAGCAATAATAGAAGTTAACCATATTCCTTTTTTCGAACTGACTGTTGCCTCAATCTGAGCCTTCAATGAAAAAAGACACTCTTTTTCTATCCCGAAAACTCACTTAAACAGATAATAAGCCGATCGTTGCTACTGACCAAGCCACGCTTACACTGCGTGCCCTCACGTTCACGTGTGCAACGTATCGTGCGTACGTGTGTCTTGCCACGCTAAAACACCCCCGAAAAATCGTTTCTGACGCGAGCAAAACTGTTTCCCCTCGATACAAGGAGCGCCTCTCTCTGTCGTCTTGTCTGAGCTCACTGATGGTACGCGGCGTGGCTTCAATTTGGTCGTCGCGTGCGCTCTACTTTCAAAAAGCAGTCACCGAGTGAACGAACGGGGTCGCCAATCTTGTTCTCCGCTCTTCAGCGCGCGGAGACAGCAGTCCATACACACACCCTGTCTCCCGCCACACGTCACATACTTTCCTCATGGAAACACTCCGCTATTCCACAACACAGAAACATTCTAAAACAAACACCTGGGCAGCGTTCTAATGCAACTCCTCTAAACAGGCACACGGGATACTTACTTACTCGAAACACAGCATAGATAGGTACAACATAAACTTTCCGGAGGCTCTTCCGGCAGGTGGCGAGACCACGCCCGCTTGCTTATTCTACGCTCTATTGTAGCAACATGTCGTCGTCTCCTCGGCCTTATCTCTCCACGCACAAGACAACACGGTCTACCATACATTTTTGCGTTGTCCCGTTTCCCCTCTTTCTTCGGGTTGTGCAGGATGAAGAGCCCTCACAGTACATCCACACAAAAAGAAAATCAGCAAAAACAAAAACACAAGGAACACCAACATAGAGGACAAACATCGACGATCGATCAACTGTACATCTTTTTCTCCTCTGTCGGTATGAACGACGGCGACGCTTCGCTGTCGACGAATGATCTAGGCAAAAAATGCAGCAACAAACGTGTGCGCGTTTTTCTCAACTTGAGTACCCTTGCGTTCTCGACCAACCCCCAACCAACCGAACTCTCTCTCTCGTGCGCGCTACGACATGTATGTGTATCTTGATCTAGAGCAGAACACTAAATCTCGTGCAACACACCACGCGACGGCGACCAACACGGAACGGCAGGCCATACAGCGCAGTCGGCGTTTTTTTTCTGTTGCTCTTCTCCCCTCGCCGTGTATCCAACGAGATACCTCCTCCGCCCTCGCCAGAGCGCCCACAACAAGTACAACAATGACCGGAGGGACGCGCGATACAGTACTCGAGGGCATACATCCGTAATGGATCTTTCAATAGATCTTGCCAACCTCTTTGATATCCGACCACGTGCTCTCCAAGCCACCGTTCTTTCGGGATCGCGATCCCAAACTCCCAAAAAAAACGAGTTCACTGCCTACGCCCCTCCCGTCTCTCCTACCCGCCCCCCCGCGCATCGCAATACCCAACCTAGTCGAGCACCCGAAGAGAGAAAAAAAGAAAGCACAGCCCAGGTTATCATTCTCGCAAGCAGTCCCCTCTCCCTCTTACCGCGGTCGTGAAAACCACGTCGTCGCGGTCAACAACGAGTAGCCTTGAAAGCCAAAAATGGTTCCAACCCCCCCCTCCCCCGCCCGCAAGCGCACACCCGCGTGCGGTTGTTGGGCTTCATCGCCGATCAAGAACAGGAAAAGAGGAGTTGGTTTTGCTGCAACCCCGACCGAAATAACCCCCCTGGCCCTCTCGCTACAACTGTCTTCCCTGTACAGGAAACACGTCGACCAAAAAAAGGGTCCCGACATTTCGAGATGCTGTTAAAAGTCGCCCACCGCAGGGCGCGGTGGGGACCGCTACCTCGTGCAGGTGCAGTGCGCACAGCACCGCGTTATTGCGCGGCGAATCAACACCTGCGCCCGTTTTATGCCTACTACTACCAGTGTTCTGCTGTTGCAGGCCGGCCCGTTGACATGGACGGCTGGTCGTGCCACCGACACTCTTACAAGGCGACCTCTTACAAGGCGACTCCTTAGCTTGGCTGTCCGGTGGAAAAACTCACAAGAGCTTGAACAACCTTTTCTTGAGAGACTCTTATCTACGCTAAACGGACAAACCAAGAGAAGCCAGCAGATGGAATTGTGTGGGGGGTGTCGCTCGCGATCGTCCGCTCGCCCGCCGGAAACGGTCAATCCCGAGAATCAAATAACCTGGGACAATCGGCCTCCGTAGGAAGAGCAAGGGTTTCCAAACTTTCGTAAACGACTTCTATCAGGAAGGCATCAAATTGCCCTTCAACATGTTGAATTACTTCTACTAGGAAGAGGTAGGTGGCCGGCGCGGGGGGTGGGCGCACGGATTCTCAAACTGACGAAATAGGGATGAGGGGGGTCGGTGAGGGGAGCCCGACAACTGGCGTAAACTCTGTACCCCGTGATACGGTACTACAGTAGCTTCTCAGAAGCAGATCTTCTCTGCAAAGCTTCGAAACGAGCGCGCACACACAAATGCTCCGTCTTCCGTAACAAAATACCTTTCAGCTTTCTCGCAAACGGTGGGTCGAAAACAAACGCTTTTCACAGCCCCCCATGTGTTCTCACCCACACCTCAGCACCATTCTCTCCTCTACAAAAGCAACGCCCCAAACAACACAAACACCTTTAACGTTTTACCACATAGCAATGCCCACACAATTTTAGCACCAAAACGTTGTCTTGTCGCGGCAAATCCAATCAATCCCTTCGGGAGGAAGAGGAGTCTGCTCCCGCAACCAGCGCGTCGAGAGATCCCGAGGGGAACTCCTTGCTGGCCTCTCGAATCTCTCGGCTCGGCTGCCTGTTCTCTCGCGCCCCGAAGTCCCACTCCCATTCTTCGCCCTCCTCTCCCTCTTCTTCCCCAAGACCTTCCCCGTCGTCTTCCTCCATGTCGTCGAAAAAATCGGCTCCCTCTTGCGTCAAAACGTCGGCTTCATCATCATCATCATCATCATCATCATCATCATCATCTGTCGTCGCCGACTCGCCCGCTCCGGCCGCCGCCGTCGGCAGTGCCGGCGAAAACGCGGGCGCCAGCGGCGGGGCCGGGCTCCCGCCCTCCCCGGCCATCCTCGCGGCGAGCGCCTCCTCCGGAATCTCGGAGAACCCCGAGTCTTGACCGCCCTTGTCCTTGCTCGCGTCTGCCCGAGTTGCACCTTCCGCAGTGGGCGCCAAGCCCCCGCTCACCGCGGCGCCGCCGTCGCCGGCTACGGCCGCCACCGCTGCCCCGTGCCCCCGTTCCTGCTCTTCGTATCCCCCGTCCCTCTGCAGCCCCGTGCCTGTTCCTCCGCCTTCTCCGACCAGAGCGTCACCGCTGCTACCACCGTCGGGGTTAGCGGTGTCACGAGCAGCGGAATCCTCCAGCTCCGCACCGTCCGACCGATTTTCCACCTCTTCCCGTGCCGCAGCAGAGGGGGAGGAGGACGTTCCCGCAACGGCCGCCGCTTCCTCTTCTCCCGCCGCTACTGCCGAGGCGGCGGGTGCGTCGCCCTCGTTCGCGCTCGCGACGTTCATGACCAAGGCTTCCGCCGCCGCCGCGGGCGGCAGGAAGGGGAGCTTGACCACGGTGGCCGTGATGTCGTCGCGGTAGTCGCCGACCATGTCGGACCATCTCCGGTTCGCCATCTCCATCAGACCCTTGCAGGCTCCCGCCGCGTCTTCTCCCCTGTCGAAAAAGCCCTGCACAATCTCCGACGCCTATCGAGAGGCCGCATGACACGAAGCAAGAAACAATCATCGGCGGGGGTGGGGGGGGCGGGGGGTTGAGGGCAGTAGTATGAAAATACCATTGATCTGGGCTGCTTATTCAAGACGAAGTTTGAGATCCAAGGGCTCATCTCTAGGGAAAAGGGAGCGAGGCGAGCAAGCCTATCTCGCGCCTGCTTTCCATGGCCGCGAAACCATCTTGGCCAGCACGGGCAAAAGGCGAAACGTTTTAGGGGTGCACCGTACTCTTATGCAGGCTGACGTGGCAACGGGCTCTCGATGGGACACAGCAAAAAGGGGGAGCTGGCGAACTGAACATGAAAATATCAATCCGACGACGTGCATACCCGTCAACATATACGGAGGGTGTAGACTCGCGCCTAAACTAGACGGTACGCAACCTACTCGCCTCCTGGTTGTCGATGAACTCCCAGACTCCATCGCTGGCAAGCACGAGGAACTCGTCTTCGGGCTGGAGGACATACTCCGTTACCTCCGGCAGGGCGATGACCCCAACCTGAACACAGAAAACCATCCACAATTGTAAAAAAATCGCCACTGGTGGTTTTGCCACGCAACCAACCGTACAGACGGGTGCTACATGTCCTCAAGATACACGTGCTGCCATTCCCCTAAGCCAGAAACAACCAGACGCGGTATAGACATCGCTCTGCTAAATAGATTCGAGCCGGCGGTCGGGTACTAGCGTAGCGGTAACCTTGCAACAACCCCCGGCGATATCACGGCGCTAAATCCCGCTGTCCGGAGGGGAAGAGACACAAGACCTGCGTGTCGCATGTGTGTCGCACAGCCAACAGAAAAGGACAGCAGCGCAACACTACACGCTAGGTTCGGAATACTACCGCCAATCAATTCATACAAAATCTTGGGGGGGACATCTCTCCTACAACGCCTCATTAAGGCATGGCGCACGCCAAAAAAAAAAAAAAAAACTGCGGAATTGGCAACGCCGAGTCCAGTAAAAATTGTTCGGGTGCTAATCCCCAATGGCCCGTGCGTCAACCGAATATCGAAAGGTGGAGAGCTTCTTTTCTTGTTCTTCCAGAATACATGGCACGAGAGAGAAACATTCTCTCACCCCTCGCAAAAAAAACAAAAAAACTCACCCTCTTGACGGCCAGGTCGCCGATCGACCTCGCCATGGCCAGCCCGACCAGCGTCCTCGTCGCGTCCAACCAGACCTGAAAGATGCGCAAGGGTTATACAATACAACGGATTGGCTCGTCAGGGTGAGACAACGGAGTAGTTTAAGGCATATCGAGGAGAGATAAAGAATCATGTGATCGTGTGTCAGTAGGGACAAAACTCCACAGAACACACACACATACACACAACCGCTTGTTCGCACTTTCCCCCCTCCAAGACTGGCGCCCTTTCGCTGGCCACCATGTCGGCGTGGTCGACAGTTTCAGACACACAACGCACACGGACGTGCGCGCGTAGCAAAACGAGAAACACCATCACGGGGCCTTTTCAAGCCTCCAGCGCACAGCGTGCCCCTCTTCGTACATACAACGCTGAAGCCAACATCTCTACACAAGCGTACCTTCTCCTTGTGCATACACCAATGCACACCTCTAGAAGTAAATATTCCTGAAATCAAGGTCCTTGAAATCAGCCTCTCTACACACCCTTGCTGATGCGCCCGCCTCTTCGGGGTCGCTCACGAACCCTCCATCTACAAGTAAATATTCCCGAAAGTAAGGTCCCTGAAATCAACATCTTTACACACCCTTGCTGATGCGCCCGCCTCTTCGGGGTCGCTCACGAACCCTCCCATGGCCTCGATGCGCTCACGCTCTCCGGGGGAGTCGGGGTTCTGTGAGGCCGGCGGCGAGTCGCGGAACAAAATGCCAGGGAGGGGAAGGGGGGATGGCGGAGAAAACACCGCATGGGACAGTCGTGAGAGGGGTGCAAACGAGATAAAACGCACGCATGACGGTATATTACTATTAATACTTGCAAAGGGATATATGGGAAGCATGCGCCGGGAGTATCACACCCGCGCACATAACCGCAGCACATACTAGGCATGATATCAACGCACGGCGCACACAACAACAATACATGCCACTTGCACATAAAAAAAAAAGAAACACGAGTATTTCAGACGGGTCCTACCACAGGGAGGGGGAAAGAGTTGGAAAAGTGGTATTTTACTGGAGTTCGCTGAAGTACATGGCATTTAACCGTAACTTCTACAATATGGCGACGACATGCCACGAAAAAACGTTCGTGTCACCGACAGACCTGATCGCGTGTCAGCCCGCGCGCGACGACCAAGCCGTCCTTCCCCCTCCCGGCCACGAGCGCCCGCGAGTCGCCGGCGTTCGCGACCCACACCCTCGGCCCCCTCACCAGAGCCACCACCGCCGTGCAGCCGCCGAAAACGGCGTTGATGCCGGACTTTGGCAGGGAAGAGTTGATGTCCAAAAACACGTCCTCCAATGCGCTGAGAAAGGGTAGGATCGGGAAGAGGGGGTAGCGGGACAATAGTGGGAATGGGGAGGGGGGTTCCAGGGGTATATTCTGTGTCTTGGTGGCGAATATCGGGGGGCTGGACGGGGGAGGTGCGATATTCTTTACGCCATGAATGTCGTACCCTTCGGATCGTTGGCGGCAAGAGAGAGGAAAGGGATGGGGGCTATACACGCAGTCAAGGGCCCAAGACGAAATCAACGCGTTAAAACCTTAAAGAAAGGGAGCACGGACCGGGATCGGAGGGGCGTCCGTCCTGCCCCAAACTGGGGTTAAGGGCCAATACCGGGGGAGGTGTGGTGGTACGAAATCCTTGATGACACTTTGATCAAGGGGGTCACGAAGAAGATACCGTTCCCGCCCCCCTCCCGGACCCCGGAAAAAGAACTCAAAAGGAATTAGTGTAGGGTCCCCATTAGAGCGTGAAAGTCAGTGTTCTCTGGGGTTCGGGGGGGGGGAGGGCTATCTTCTGCGTGACCCCCTCTGACAGGGTTTAGTATCCCCCCCCCCTCCGGTATTGGCCCTTATCCCAGTTTGGGGCAGGAAGTCTCCGATCCTGCTCGGTGTGCCCTGTTGGTTTGCCCAACAGGGGGCTCCGCAGGTATGCCACAAACGCACACCCACAGTTGCGGAATCGTCAACAACAACAACAACAACAACAAATGCAATTCACGGCAAAGAAATTGTAAACGACCCACCACAACGCAGTACGAGCAGACTTGCGAGGTTGTTTCCTTCAAGAACTCGTTCGTCCAGCCTTTTGCAGACGATACACAACTTCACACCTACATACACAACTTTCACACATCGTATCGGAGAGGACGTTGCGCACGTAGTAAAACCACACCAGCAACCAACAGGCACCCACGTCACCATCTGTGGTAGCGGAATAGACCGACGTCACCATCTCGTGGTAGCGGATAGAGCGACCAAGACTCGTGTCTTTCAAGTCGTCCTTTGCTGTTGTAAGGAGCGGTACTAGGTTTGTGGTTGGTAGCCAGGCAACGGATGTATAAGAACAAACGCTCAAACTCTCTCGTTTTTCTCTCTATTTGTCCGCCCGTCAGACTTTCTCTCTCTCTCTCTCTCTCTCTCTCTCTCTCTCTCTCTCTCTCTCTCTCTCTCTCTCTCTCTCGCACACACAGGGATCCAGACCTCTGTCTGCCTGTCTGTCTGTCTGTGTGTGTCTCTCTCTCTCTCTCTCTCCCTACCTCACCTGACGGGGTCGCGAATGGATTCCGGGTGGAGCTCTAATCTGCGGGGCACCTCCCGCATCGTGTACGCGGCCACGTGCTCTCCGTTCTCCCCGTGTCCTTTTCGGTCAACAGCAGTGTCAAAAAAAGTCGACCCACCCCCCCCCAGCCGACAAGCCGGAAGAGCACACAGAGGGCAAGCGTGTTGAGCGTGGAGAAAAGGAAGAGATTCAAAAATAAAATAAAAGGAAGTATTATTCTTGATCCATGAAATAGAGAGGGGGGGTTCGTAACCCTTACCTACAGCCCAACCCCCAACCCAATCCCGTAACCCGTACTAAAACCAAGCCAAGCAATCTCGCATAGGCTATTGCCTGGTACGGCGGATGCTACTGCACACCGCCGTTATGTTGGCATACTGCTGTATGCACACTCGTACATCACGGGGCGCGCGCACCAACAACGCAGAGGAGGCTCGAACCACAACGGCTCTGTGAGCGAGAGACATGATACTGAGGTGTATAAAATGCAAGCTCGAAGACATCAACGGGTGCCTCGTTGTTACACGGCGAATACGAACTTGAGAGGTTCGCCTGGACTACGCTAGGCTTCCAACCAACTCGCATGTTCTCTCAGTGTGGCCACAAAACACAGGGCCACTGCTCGGCACCGTTCTTAATTAATGGCACTCGTCCTGCCTCCCCCAAAGACAATTGATCAGCAGTAAACAAACAGCACTTTGCTTTCCTTTTTAGAACGAACCGAAAAATCGGGGTTGCGAAATCACCACAACAACGATAAAAAAAAAACAACGGAAATCCGCCTGCTGATTGGGCGATGACTGACGGTCCCTGGCCTGTGCACAAAATGTACATAAGCCGTCTCTAGTTTAAAAGCTCTATCAAATGCCCCCCCGAACCCCGAAATCGAGGGGACATTTGATAGGGCTTTTAGAAAACAACCCGCAGGAGCGTGGTACATAAACGAAGCACAGAAAGGAGGTTTCGAGATATTCTGCTAGGAAGAAAGCGATACCTCGACGTCCAAAGCTCCACCATGCCCGCCCGGTTGCCCATTTTGTCGGTGGGTGAGGTGTGTTTGTTCGAGCTAGGCCCTGGTAGCGCTGTCTGCCCAGGGACAGATTGACGCGGTGTAACTTCACCGTTGAACCAGCAGGGCTGCAGGAAGCACCTGCCGTACATGGTCAAATCGTCGCGAGGTCCTTTTCCGCTTCCACCCCCCCCCGTCCAACGCCACAAAAGCCCATGGCGCTCAACGCCTATACCGGCACTCCCCTTGTCGAGGAGTCCATAGGCGGAGATAGCCATGCAATCCTTCGCCAGATGAAGGGGGCCTACGACCATGATGCCACACGTGCCAGAGAGTTTGTGTTCGATGACGCCGGTGCGGTCGGTACGGGCTCATGCGCAAACGATAACCCGCCAGGAGCTCTACCAACAGAATTGTGGTCGGGTGTCAAGCGATTTGACTCACGA